CAAATTATTTCCTTAACTTTCAAATTATCTTAAGGCGGTCAGTACTATTCGATGCGTCCAATACCTTTCAACTTTGGCCACATGAGTTAGTCTTGTATATCATGTAATCGTAATTCAAATGTTGATCATCATATTTTTGTGTTCAACGTTTGCATTGGAATAATTTCCGCTGAAAGTTGGTATTTTCGACCCACGTCATAATCGTATCCAATGTTGGAAGCAAGTTGCAACCAGCATTTCGTATACGGCTGCACGATGTGACATGTGTATTCCTACAGTGTCCAGTCTTGGATTAATAATTTATTGCGTGATAGTACGATTACATTGGTAAGAACTGCAGCCACGTCATCCATTTTTCAATTATTTCTTTTTTTATAGATAAATTGAAAACACACACAAATATATATATGTTACCGGAAAAGATGACAATCAGTCCGTGTTGACAATGACTAGTCAATAACGATAATGCCTGATTTAGTAAGGAATTAATGTCAATACCTAGTCATTGATAATAATTCCTAATAAAAGAAGGCATTGATAATAATATTAAAAATTAATTTAATATATTTTAATACTTATTAGCTATTTAGGATAAATCATAATCTTAATCTTTATTGTTACGTGGTAAATTACTATGACACTTGGAATTATATAATCTAGTACAGCGGTACCCAAAGCATGCTCCGCGAAGCCTTTGGTGCTCCGCAATGCTTTGCCTAGGGCTCCGTTCGTAAAACCACAAAAAATTTAAAAAAATGTTCGTCATTTAAAATTAATGTATATTTCATGAAGACTTGAATGTAGTATAATCAGATATATCACCGATAAAGCGGTGTTGATAATTGTTCGAATGCGGATTTATAACATTGCCTAATATAATACGGAAATGTTGATAAAACTACGAAATATCCAACATTGCCTAACCTTTCCAGTCATTGTCAACAATGACTAGGATATACTGACAATTCCTGAATTTTCATCTTTTCCGGTAACATATATATACTGAAGGAAAATAATATATAATTCCAATTTAAGAAACAGGACACTAGATCTAAAATTCGTGATAATGTGTAGTTGCAGTCATGAGTCCAACATTAGTCCCAATGTTCAGTCAATGATGTTTGGCATATCCTGTAGTATCGGTTTTATAAACATGGCAAATACTAAATCTTCTTTTATGTTGTAATACTTAATTAATTTTTGTAAAATTTATTTTTAATATTACAATGTATATTATATATTCCATAACGTATCGTTTTTTGTTATGTTGGGTTCGTCCTGTTTTATAAAAAAATTCCCCATTTTTTGGATTGGCTATAATTTCCGGAGGAATGTGACATTGTACCAGCAGATGTATATTTAATAGATGACGGAAAACTAAATCGTTGTTAAGAGTGCTTTATGATCGTTTCACTCGGTTTGTAAACTTAATAATTTTCTAAAATCGTGACTGATAATTGAGATTTTATGAAACTTCCTGATATAGTGGAAACAGACCGACGCGTAATTGATGTTGTTCATTAATAACCCTTTCGTTCATCCAAAGAGTTAATTAATAAAAGATGCTATTTGTACTGTTGGATTATCGGGGGGGGGGGGCAAAATTATACCTTTATCTCTCAAAAAATGGTCAGAGGGGGAACTTGCCCCCCTTGCCCTCCACAATCACGTCACTGGCACCAGGTACTCCAAAAATGAAATTTTTTTTCCCCATATTTGAAGTATCTTAGATTTTTAGTTATATTTTCAAAGTTTTGGTGTTATTTTTAGCTAATACGCATTATAATATAACGCTTAATTTTGTATTTTTCATAAATACTGTTTATATTGAATGAAAAATAGTATTCATTTATGTGTAACAAGATAAATTCCTACTTTTTTGTTTTATGTAATAAGTTTTTTAGATTGTTAATAGAAGAAGGTTATTTTATTTTTTTTTATAAATGTATTATTCGTAAGATTATATTATAGATAAAATAAATATATTATAATATAATATTTTTGGATGTATTTTAAAGTTTTTTTTGTCAAATAATAGTGTACATTTCAGTAATTTTCAATGCTATAAAATCCGAACCCTGATAACGATTATGAAAATAATATCATGTAAACACGAGTGATCGACGACATAAGGTGGTAATTGACACACGGTGGTAATCTAAATCGAGCACAGTACACACGCATACCGGTCGTAGCATACGATAAAATGTACCATTGGCGGGTTTTCCCCGTTACATTTTACCGGTATGGCGGTGATGTAATAGTGGCGACGGTTGTTAGTATAGTCGGAATGCGATAAAAAAACCGCTGCAATCTTACTTCGCTACGATGCCTGCCGTCGTTGATCGACCAATAATAATAATAATAATAGTAATAATAATAACAATTTTAGTAATAATCAAACATAATAGTGATTATTAATATGCAGGGCCTGCGTAAGGCTAAATGACGCCCGAAGCCAAAATGCCAACTGGCGTCTTTTTCATACAACAACCCGTAATATCAGTAAACTTAAAAAAAATATTGTTCATGAACAGAAATACCGAAAAATTATATATTATGCTCAACTTACTACATAATTTGTTATCGTCAAATTTTTTGGTCACGAATCACGACGTACAGTGTTCGAAAAACAGAAAAAGGTTGTCAAAAATAAATAATTGAAACTATGATATTTAATTATCATTGAAATACATTTTTATTAATATATAATATATTACAATTTGTTTTAATTATTGTTTTTTATTCTGAAATGTACTCTGGTTCTTCATTACCTCACATTTTTGTTCTTCGATTGTAATTTGTTTAGGATACGCATTAACCTTTTCAGCAAGAAGTTGATCATATGAAGGATATAAATCATGATTATATTTTTTAGCGTTTTTACGGAGCATATTGTATTGGAATTTCGATAATGAACATGCAATATTTAAAGACAAAGCGACTTCTGGACTCATCATAGACGGCTTTAATGTAATTTTATTTTTCATTTACATACCACGAATTTTGCTTCCTCTTGTTGGAGTAATGTTTGTTGCTTTTAGCTGTATCTTCATTTCCTATTTTTCTTAAAGCATATAAAGTTGTCTCACTAAGTTCACCTAAGTTTGATGATTTCTAAAGAATTTGGCATTTTCGTTGTTTTGAACGCGTACTACTTCATTAATGGTATAGTTGGGCGACCGCAGTCGCCTAGATTAAATAGAGATTCAGAACTATTTATATTTGTTCAATTAGTGTATCTTTCATTTTTCTATTCTGTTCTATTTTATAAAATATCTATAGTTATATACAATTTACCTATCATTAGCACTTGTATAAAATATGATAAATATGTAAATATAAATAAATAAACAAATACATATATTATACCAATTAAAAAATGAAGTAGCCAAACATTTCGTAATCTCTTCAATAACATTTTGTACGTTATCGTCATCTTTGTTGATTTTAAAACAATTAAAAAATAATTCAATGCATTATTTTTTTTCTCCTGGATGTGTGTAGTACTATATGTTAGTATACATTCATGAATATTTTAAAGCGTAATTTTATTTAATAAAGCCGTGATTAAAAATAAATAGGTATATTATTTCACTATAAAAAAATATTGTACCAAAAATCGAATACACTCAATTTCAATCATCGGTTAAAAAAATAGGGCAAATATGCGCAGCTAATTTTCCATGGACTTTTCCCAATAAACTGATTTAATTTTCGTCGTGTAACTCAAAGAATAAACATACTAAATATTTATGTTTTTAATGACATATATGTTAAATTCAGTTTTATCAATAATATTGTATGTTTAAATTAAAATGTATGGTTCACCCATACCTTTATCTATCATTATATGTATATATATATATATATATATATATTATATTTATACTCGTATATCACATTTTGTAAGTACCAACGATAATTACTCAATTTAATACCATATTTAACAGATAACTTTTCATAATTATATTTCGACTATTCACAATAAATCGATGATTTATCAACATTATAGTTATGCTATACATAGCATTTTATGTACTTAAATTAGCGTTATGTCAAAAAAATAAACAATTTTAAATACAATAGAATATGTACAATTAATTTTTGGAAAATTAAAGTTTCCTAATAATTAAAATAATGATTTTTGGCCACCTTTTTAGTTTTTCGACCACTGTGCGACGGCTTGACGCAATCCTGATTGAACGATAACAAATATTTGGGAATTATAGCAACTTATACGATAAACCATATTAAATATACTTAAAATATAATTATATTATTTTAATATACGGTTAAACGAAATAACCATCAATTATTATCAAATTTCAATATAAAGTTTTGGGTATTTTACAAAAAAAAAAAATAAATATTACTAACATATGTGCAAAATTGTAAAAAGCAATGTTTCGGTGTCCCCCTGAAAATGGTGCCCTAGGCGACCGCTTGAGTCGCCTTGCCCCCATGCCGGCCCTGTTAATATGTATTATTACACCACTGGCTAACGTTGTATTTTCGGGGGAGGTGGGTTGTTCGCGTGTTTCGACTTCACCAGAAGAAAAAGAAAGTTCAAAAGTCATAAATGACTTGGTACAAAGGTACAGAAAAAGAGAAGATTAATTTATATCATGCGGTTGTAATGGTTCTATAAAAATATTTGTAATATGATTATTAATTCGTATCTTATATGGATTTTTTAGACCATTTTAAATGCCCCACAGCAAATTTGAAAATACGTCACTGCCAGTAGCGATCTATGTATGCGTGTGTCGTAGTACGGCTCATTTCGTTTAATATTATTATAATTTTTGCCATTATTATTATTATTACTGATATTTACGCGCAACCGGTCGGATCCCGGATCTGTTGTTTTGGCTCGCGACGACGACGACCACTTTACCGCCTCGTCGCATAATTTTTTCCGTTGCTACGATCACCGCGAAACCGTTGCCGTTGTTCGTTGCGCGTCTATTGCATTTCCGATCCGCGTTCGGGCGGTGGACAAAGTCGCGTGTTTCGTGCTTGCCGGTCGGTATTCCGAAGCGCATAACGGACGACAATAGCGTAACAAACTCACGGTATGCGCGCGCGTGTGTATACTATAATATTGTACCGCGGTAACAACAAATGAATAACAACCGCGATCAGGAGCAGTCTCGGGCGGCAGGTCGAAATCCGATTGGGAACAGGTGGCGGTCGCGGTCCCGTCTGTCGGCCGCGCAGCCGACGAGTGTTCGTGTTCAGTCGTCCCGGTGCAGCCGCGTTCTGCGTCGTGCGTACTGCTGTATAGTTGACGACGAGTTCCTATCCTCGTTACGCGGTCCGACCGTGGACACGTGCAGTGCTCGCGGCAGTTTTGTCGTCGTCGTCTAATCGCATTAGTATAGTATTGCCGTGTAACCCTTTACGTCGCCGTTGACTTTTCGCGTGATTCATGTCCCGACGGCGCTTGTCGCGTGAAATCGTATTTAACAATCGTTTTCCGTCGAAATACGAAAGAAATTTTAACCGGCCGATCGTTTTTCGTGCACCCGTCGAGTAGTGTTTTCGTCTCGAAGGAAACGGTCCGTCGCCCGGGCCCCGTAGCACGCCCGTGTGTGTGGTGAGTACATACAATAAAAAAAACCGAACACATGAGCTGGCCCCGCTGCCGCCTTCGCTCGTCACCAGTTGTTGCGGTCCGCCGGGGACACACATTCCTTAAACACGAACTCTCGGGTACGGCCGTGTATTTTAGATGCCCGTATATTAGAATAAATATCAATACGTTATTACTGTGCGTACGTGTCTTTTTTTTTTCTCAACGTCAACATTAACAATTTATTGTTGTCGTTTGTACGGTCGTCCCATGCGCGCACTAATAACGTTATTTCAGAGGGCTGCCCTCCTCCCAGCCAGTACAAAATTGTATGTTACATAACACGTAATGATGCGTGCGTGCGATGCGGTTTGTCTATTATTCGAAATCTTCTCCGGTCGGAACGGTTCGACAGTTTTAAAATGCAGTTTTTGTTTTTTCTTACGTATTCGCTTTTGTACTCTCCACCATCTCGGCAGTCGTTGTAATTTTTTTTCAACATAAACGGTGAAATATTTTTAATTATTACTATTATTACAGCTGTCCCTATTGCTATACTTGATCTGCGTTCGTAAAATGTGGTCGACTGTAGTCTTGATTTTCGGTCGTTTAACGCCAAGAGAAATCGACGTGGTCTATGCAGGTTTCAATTAATGTCGGGTGTCGTTCTAAAAGTTTTCTCATACCTGAATGGCACCTTGGATTATGGATTATAATTTATCATCTATTCAATTACGCGTTAATGAAATTCGTCCCGTATTCAAATCTTAATAAATTTCATGTTTTACTATCCGATAAACGTTTTAAATAATCGAGTTTAAATATTTACTCTTGGAGTTCTTCTACTGGTTAATTCAAGAACTTTCACTAATTAGCAAATATACTGTTTTACTCTTAATGCATAATTGACTTGTTTTTCTTTAGCACTTAATGCTATCACATAGTATTTACGATTCAATAACACAAATTATTTTGTACTTGAACGTGGCAACAAATTTTTTCTTTTATCTATACGACATAGTGTTGCTAGAATTTTATTGTAAGAACTGAAATAGTTTTTTATAAAATTAAAAATTAATAATTAAGATAACATTTTGGTAAGGGTTAATCGTTGAAAAAGTGCACCTGTTGAGTGTAAAACGTGTATCAATATTTTCAACATTGTTAATTATGCGATAACCTGTAATGTAATGTATTAAGTGTGTTTTCATGTGTCCATTAGTTATTTTATGCATGAATCGATAATCTAATTACATTTTTATATTAAATGCTGCGACTTAAAAGATAATATAATAAATACTTGAAAACAATTAAATCTTGTATAGGATATGTTGCATTAATGGCGTGTCACAGTTAGTCGTAACATTTACTTGCATTATGTGATTTTGAAAAATCCGTTGTTGGTTACTAACGTTTCGTGTTTTACTTAAGTGTTTCATAAAAACCCTAATAATTATTATAATCTGTATAATTGTAGCTAGTAATTATTATACCAAGTTATTTGTATAGTTTAATTATAATTTGTGTCGTTGATTATTTCGTGAGCACTGAGAAAAAATATTTTAATTTCATGGCATTAGAACCCTACAGTATTGTCTTTTTAACAGTCGTAAAATGTTTTGTGTTTACATGAACGTTAATATATATGTATATATTAATTATTACTTAATAAATGTTATATCTGCATAACGATATCACAGACAAACTTTTTTGAAACTAAATATTGAGGAATGTTCAAAGCTTTGTTTAATTTAATAATTTCAAAAGTAATTTCACACAATTATAACTATACTTTGAAATAAAATTTATTAATATAATTATATAAATATAAAAAATAGGAAGTATTTTTATTAAAAATAAAATTTTACTTACCGCTTGTAAGAAATATCTTGTTTTTGGTACTAACCATGAATAAATTAAATAACTGGTGATTAGCTTGTTAACTGCCAGAGGCGTATCTACAAATTATGTTACTCGGGGTACAACATAATATTAGCGGTCCTAAAGGTTACAAATAAATAATTTACCTAAAATGACTTGATATATGTATTTTTGAATGCAATTTCAATGTATAATAGATACAAAACAGTAATCACACAGACTCTATATAAAGATAGATATACATTCATATGTTATAGAAATGTTTATTTTCAATAAACAACTTAAAATTGATTGTAGATTTATACTTAAGCTTACATCTTAATTTAATAAATTGGCTACAAATAAACTAAACTAATAATTTTCTTGTTTATTTTGTAGCAAATTCATTTACATCTTCATAATTTATGAATTTAGCGATTCCGTTCTCAATAGATATGACTGAACGATCATTTTGCATATCATGTTTTGTAATCAATCGTAAATATGATTTAATTAGTTTCAGTTTACTGAAACTGTACTTACAAGATGCCGATATCATGGGTCAAATAAGAAATATTTGATTGGTTGTATATATTTTTGGATAAACATCTTGAAGATAATTTTTAAAAATAAAATTCAAAATTTCATGAGAACGAATATTTAATAATTTATTTTCAAATTGAATTATTTACATATTGAGTAAAACTATCCGATTCTAAACAAATGAATTTTTATCAATATTTTTAACAAAAAAGGTTCAATTTTTTTGAAAAAATTAAGACGTATTTAATTTAAAAATACGCGTTGACAATTTGAAACTTTTGCCCTTCTGAGATTAGCGCCTGGGGATGAGCCCTTGATTTCTGCTCTCCATACATCAGGTGTTATTAACTACACCAGATATATACACTTATAGTTATTTTAAAATTACGTACCTCGGAATTTCGCTAAACACGTTATTTGATTGAATCATTTTCCATTTTGAATTACAGATAATGTTATATTTTTTCCAATAGTATAATATATTAATATGTTATAATAATTTTAAAATTGGGATACGATGGTGTTGGTGTTATTATTGTTCATACGACTGTAGCCGATAAAAATCAACCGATATAATATTTTTTTTTGTTAATAGATTTTGTGTTACAATTAATCTCGACAGTTAGGGACAATAGAATATTATTACGAGCTTTTTTGTGTAAAAACTGTTCGTTATTGTAGTGTACCAACTGACATGAATTTATCAAGTACTTCCATACAATGTAACGTCAATAAACATCATTATAATTCTTGAAAAGGTAACGTCTCTTACGGTGGAGCGCAACTCGTGCGTATTTTATTTATTTTTCGAGTGATCGATATTTTGCCATTTGTCCGCCGTTGTGCCGTGCCATTGTGTTTTGCCCAAAACTATTCCCCGGCGACGGCGGTCCGTAACCCCGTGCGGGTGTTCAAAATATTGTGTCACACGGTGGACCGTCATGATAACATAATGTTCTAAAGCTCCAGAGATGGCGTTGTGTCCCGTGGCGTTGTTACTTTACTTTGTCTGCAGCTATAATACATCGCGAATGGTGGCCACATGTCCCGGATTGCGTTGGATTGGGTAGATTACAAGTGTTTACGCTATCCTAAAGTATTATGGGCGCATGTAAACTCCGCCACAAGTACATTTTTTTATTGTAAGCTCCGCCAGAAAAAAAAACAGGTAAAATTACGTTCATGTAAACTCCGCCACTAAAAAAAAATCAGGTAAAATTGAATTCATGTAAACTCCGCCAGTGAAGAAAATCAACTAGTAATATAAAATGAATATGATAAATTATTAAAAAAAAAAATTAATTTTTTTAGCTTATATACATGTGATATGTCATTTAGTTTTATATAAGTCTGGGTTTGAAATTCGGTAAGAACTTAACTAAAATATGAACATTCGGTTGACTTTTATAAAATTAATTTCTTAGATGATCATAAAAGGATTCACAGGCAAAACACAAAAAAAACTGGCGGATTTTACATATATCCAATAAAGGTGAGAAAAAAAAACTGGCCGAGTTTATATTAGACCTTTTATTACCTTTTTATCTTAACCGATATTCTGGTGGAGATTATAATCGCCCAATATTATACCGTGCATTATCAGTCGGGTCATAAGTGTGAAACATTGGCAAATATTTTTTTCTTCTAATTTTTTTGGTTTTCAGACCGTTTCATAAAGTCAACACTAGAATGTCGCACTTATTTCATACCTGACTATCAATATTTAATTGCCGATGAAATGATGCGATAATAATTATCATATTAAATAAAAATATACAAATATGAACTATATTCTATAGTCATTAATTTATAATAAATTCATATGTTAACTATATTAATAAGTTATAAATTATAATAAAAAATGTATAGTTATAAATAGGGCCCGGAATTATATTCTTTTAAAATAGCCAAAATAAGATGCTAATATTCTCTTAAAAATTTGAAAATATTCTTCCAATATTCTTTAAAAATCATAATAAAATATGCCAAATGTTTCATGATTCGTATAGATTTAAAACCCCCGTCTGACTGCATAGACTCAAAAAAAATATGCAAAAGAATATAATTCCGGGCTCTAGTTATAAATAATATTAATATATATATATATATATAATTAATAATAATGTTGTAATTATTTCTGCATATTAAATAAACATAAGAAAAAAAATGTATATTGACATATATACTGTTAATGAGTTCTGAAACTTTTTTTAAGTATGCACATATGTGTTGTAGGTATAGTTTTTGTAACTTGTATAATGTACAACGTAAGAAAAATTTTAATACAACATTATAAAATTTTAAATTTCAGTATGCAGATGTTATCTGTAGTTCCTTTATAGTTTAATATTTTTTTATTTTTATTTTATGAAAATTAAATATTTCACGAAGCTTTCATGAAATATTTAAAAAAAATAAATTTTATGAAATTTTAGAACCCTAATTATTAGTTACCCCTGCTCTAATTATAATTAGTATTAATAATTGGATTGATTCAGACCGACGCATAATATAAACTAAAAAAAAAAAAAATAATTCACTGCCCTTATTGTGTGTAATCTTATTTAAGTTGTACGAATTATTAATTTTAATATTATTAATAAAACATTGTGAGCGGAATT